CAGTCAAGATGCAAAAAAGAAGATCTCACACAGCAGTAATTCTCAGGGGACAGAAATGTGAATCTAGAGTCGCTAACAGCATATTATTTAAAATATCTACTTTTCAACAACAACAAAAAATTTACAAAATATACAGAGAAACAGGGCAGTTGACCCATATACTCAGGAGAAAAAGCATTTAGTAGAAACTGCCCGTCTAATGTGGGCCCAGATGTTAGATTTAGCAGATAAACATTTCAAAGTGGCTATTATGAATATGTTCAAAGACTAAGTCTTAAACTATCTTAGAGAATTAAGAGGAAATATGATGACAATGACTTAACAAATATGTAATCTCAATAGATAGATAAAAGTTACTTTAAAAAGGCCTTGGAGAAATTCTTGGCACATCTTAGTTACTGTATCAGCGTGGTGCAAATAAATTAATGTTTTCCTCCCCAAACACAGATATCTCAGCTTCGTCTGAACCCAGAGATTCTGATTAAGTAGGTCTAGATTAGCGCTTGAAGATCTGTCTTCTTGAAGGTGCTTACCAGCATTTTTAAACGCTGCATGACGCTGATGCAAAGCCATGTTGGCAAGTGATTTTTTTTAAAAAAAGATATCCTCAAAAATAATCCAATTTAAACAGCTAAGAATTATTTCATGTACAAAGGAAAAAAGAGCGATTAATAGTGGCTATACTTGTGGTGGTTTGTATATATTGTATATATTAATGAGTACAGTAACTCATTAATGTGATGTAAATAAAGGGGTAAATAAATGTTTTTACGAATAGGTTTTTTGTTCTGTCTTTTTATAAGATACACTTAGTGGAAATATTGAATTTCTAAAATTAATATTAATTGCAGTAGTTTTGTTTAAGAGTTTCCAAACTTCCTTTGAAGTATCATTCTCGATGGAAAAGGTTGAACTCATACCCCCTGAAGTTTTCAAGGAAATAGTGTGAAGGGGCTAAAGAAGGCACAGTAATTTACATCTTTCTTAAAAATTTATGTAAATTTTTCTTTTGGTTCCATCGTTGACCCCTGTTCATTTTCCCCCTGCCACTAAGTCTTTGATTAGAATAGTTAATCCGGGGAGATGTCTGCTTGTGATTTGTGGGACCCCTGCTCAGTTCATCACATGTACTTTTGAGAATTATCTTGAGGGCACCATGTCATCTGCATGTTGTGCCACAGCACATCCATGTTAACATTCTCATATATGTTTATATTTTAAAGAAATGGAGCAAGTAATTGATTCATTATTGATCACTTGAAAGTGTTAGAATAGCATGCGTACCTGATTAAAATGGCTTGCCTATTTAGAATCATAGATTGGTGAAGTTTGACGTGACTTTAAAATGACTTTAATTCTTCAGAAAAAGAAATGAAAACTCAGAAAAGTAAAATGACCCAAGTTCCTAAGGCTGACCCAGCCACCCATACTTAGTGTTCGGTGTTCTCCATATGTATATAGTTGAGCAGTTGTTGGTTTTGCTCTCTTTATGGCACACATCCCTACATTTCCACAAGTACAATTTTTGTTATTGTCCATATGTTTTGTGAACCTTTCCAATAATTGTTTCCTGTCTAATTTACTAGCATTCTTTGGTGAATTTCAGATTGTATGAAAACTTATAAAATAAATGCTGTTGTATTATCAACAAGATGGCTTGAGAAGTCACAGGGCCGGCAAAAGAGCCTGGGAACCCTGCCCGGGTTACAGTCTAACTCCTTGTAATCCTTGAGACCCAGAATTACCCATTATTTGATGCCTTAGTTTCATTCTCTGTAAAAGTTGTATCATAATAATAACTACTCCATTATTTTTTTGTTGTTGATGATATTGGTGATAAAAGAAGGTGATCCATGTAAAGCATTTAACACAGTGCCAGAACATAATAATTGCTGTGTAAATGTTAGCTATCATAATAGCGCCTTTCATTTCTCTCTTCATGTTTGTTTTTTTATGGCTATATATATTTCAGGTTGGAAACACAGGGTTTAAACAAAGGAAAGTTTATAAACATGTAACTCGTCTGTCTTTGTGAGAAACACTAATGAACCTCAATAGTACCTAGAAAATAATAAATTGACAGAACTTAAATATTCTTTTTTGAGGACAGCACATAGTTTTCATTGACTATAAGTAGTTTATCTTTTTTTAATGCTTACTACTTTTATTTTCACTACCAAAGGAAATACATATTACAGAGGAAAACACATTGCAATTTATATTGTTTTAAACAAATGCTAGTGTTCAATTTAGTGATTTGGTTCAACAACATTTATTGGAATTATGTATCATATACCAGTCTAGGCACTAGAATTATAAGTAAGAACTCTATCATCACAGTCTAGCAGGGAAGATATATATTAAAAATGAATATGCCCAGTACCATGTAATAATAATAGGCACTTTAGTAGATATTATAAGTTCAATGGAAACAGAGGCGAGAGAGCAAGTAGGAAAGAGAACACTTACGGTTTAGAACAATGGACGTAGCAGTAAATAAAGCAATATTCGCTGTAAGAACTCATTCTGTTCCATGCAGTGAAAGTGTAACTACCATGATCCCTTTCTCCAGGAGAGTCTACATTGGAAATCTACTAAACTATTAAAGTGTGCTCATCTTTTTGTTTCCTTTTCCTTACTTTACTTTCTTGGATGACTATGACTAAGGTTTTAAAAATCCTCTTTCTGAATTACCAAAACAGCAAGACACTCAACTGTGCAGCTTACCAAATATCTTTCAAAAGCAGAGGAAAATTCACTTAGAATAACTAATCCTGCAGACTATCAACAGCAACAAAAATTAAAGGACTCAATTTAAAAACCACGGTGCTTCAAGTCAATTCTATATTTTTGACAAATAGTACAAATTGTGAATTATGGCTCCAAGCCAGTTTTCTAATAACATGTTCTAATATTCGTAATATCCTCTAATAATGTGATTTATTCTCTTTTATTAAGGAATTATAGTTGCAAATCATCTCTGCCTTTAAAATATGCTGTGCTCCAAAATCTTATTTGATGTCCCTTGTTTGAATTTCCGCTCAGCTTTTGCCCCAGAAATGGGTCAACTTCTGAAGTGCTAAGAAATAATTTCAATTAAAACAAATACAATAATACTAGTTTAAGCTGAATTATTTGTATGGGCAATACAGTATCAGAAAATGGAAGAAAGCAGTAGTATATGTAAAATTTATTTATGAATGTGTGGAAGTTTATAAGTGAACTTTTTGAAAGCTTGGTCTGTTTACTGTTTGCCTTGACATTGCCCAGCTCCATTTCAGTGTTCCTTCTTCATTGATGCACCTCTCTACATACTTTTAGTAATGTCTTAAGACCATAAACCTTCTTAGTGAAAACCTACTAAGGTTAGGACTTGCCACAATCACCTGAAGATTTCTTTGCTCCAGATTGTGTCCTTTTCTTCTCTCTTAATTCCCATTACACCTTTAGTTTTCTCACTTGAACTGAGAGTTCAACCAAATTTGAGAATTGCTGGTTTTCTAAATCATGCCAATGTAGAATCCAATCACTCTTTTGAAAGACTATTTGGATCTTAGAAAGAAGATGCTTGTTTATCTGGGTGACTTTCTAGTTCATTGAGTTAGTGAGCAGCCCTGTACAATAAAGTTCAAGAGAAGAGTTTTGGCATTAGATTGACCTGGACACAACCCAGCTCTTCAACTTGGAAGTTTGTATCTTGGAACAATTTACTTCTGAATGTCAGTTTTTTCTGTTAAAAAGGATGTAAGCAATAATTCATGTGAGGCAGAGTAGTTAAAAGGATAGAGGTAAGACAAAGTACTGAAATTATTGCTAGTCTTTTATAACAGGAATGTGATAGATGGCAGCAGGTTAGAGAACTGATCCAAATCGGAGGCAGTGGAGGAGAAGTTTTTGGTGTGCAGCTAACCCACAGGTAGCACACCACACAGCGAAGATGTGCTTCTCCCACCCACAGTTCTTCGTGGCTGTTCTTGGCTTTCTCTCTTTTTACCTTCGTTCTATGCTCTGCTGCTGCGTTATGGGACCCCTAGTTGAAAACTATGGGTAAAACTTATAATTCTAATCTTCTGTTCCATTCAGGAATCTTTTTCACAGCCCTCATGAACAGTGGTTATCTATACTCTTGTTTATTGCTTCGTACATAAATTGGTATAGCACTTCTAACTAAGCATTTTTATGTACATTATCTCATTTTAGAGTCACGCAGGTAGGAAAACTAACCTCACGGGTGTTTCGGCTCCATTTTGTAGATGACAAAACTGAATCTTAGTGAAATTTTGCCCTTTCTGGGTGTTTCATTGTGTCGAATTGGATTGGAGTAGTGCTGGCTCCTTTCAATGCCCATCTGCTGAATCCTTTCATTTGTTTCAGTTTTAAATAAAGTGTCTACAAATGGAAATAAGTTATGGTCCCCTAAGCATGTTACCGTCATAGTATCTAAGTTATTTCAGGGGAGAACTGCTAAGACAAAAGTATTTTTAAGATAAGACTACTAACTGCAATTAATATGTCTACATTAAATGATAAGGAAAGGCCAAAAGTCTAGCAGAAAGTAGAGCAGAGCTTTTATTCCTTTGCATAAGTGAAAATTGTTCCTTGATTAGTTGATGCATTCTATAGTTGTGAAATTTGTCACTATTTATAAATCCTTTGGTTAAATTTATCATTTTTCTTTGGATTTACTCACAAAGAGCCAGTTAGTTTCTGATTGTGACTAGATTGTATAGAAAATATTTTGTTAGAGTAATTTTAAATTGTCTTATAAGGATGAATAGTCCAGCTAAAGATATATTTTTAAAAATCTATTAAGGAATTCTTGACACATAGTTAAGAACCAAGGAATTATTTAATAAATGTATGAATTGAATGACTTAAAAATATACTTTCTATAACATCCCTTGAATATAGACGTGAACCGTATTACTTGAAGATGCATTATTAGAATAATAATACTTCATAAATGAGTTAATTTTAATTTTCTCTCTCTTTTTTTTAAGGTTTCAGCAGAGCAGCTTTACCATTTGGGTTAGTTAGACGAGAATTATCCTGTGAAGGTTATTCTATAGATCTTCGATGTCCAGGCAGTGATGTCATCATGATTGAGAGTGCTAACTATGGTCGGACAGATGACAAGATTTGTGATGCTGACCCATTTCAGATGGAAAATACAGACTGCTACCTCCCAGATGCCTTCAAAATTATGACTCAAAGGTAAATATTCTTGTGTTAATGTCCCATGTCAGCTACTACATCCGAATTGGTAAAATTATTATAATAATTTCTAAGTGGATGAGTATAGTCCATATCTCAGTCTATTTACTAGACTGAGTTAGGATTTTACCTATGAATGCTGATTTCTGCTTTGTAAGTTTTGAACAACATTTAAATCTCTGTATCATTTTTGTATAGATTGACATAGCAGAAGGAATATGTAATACATATCTTAAATTTTTATATATCATAAAATAGAATAATATTTCAAATGTAGTCTTTTTTTTTTGAGGGTTTCAAAATTTTGAAGTATTTTTGTAGTATTAAGAATGTTTAATTATCTGGGTCTTTGGCAATAATTGCTCTTTAATTTTTTAATTAATAAACATTTTTTACAGCAAAAATGAGCAGAAAGTAGAGAGTTATCATACCTCCATCCCCCCCACACACACAACCTCCCCAACTATGGACGTGCTGCACCACAGTGGTACATTTGTTACAATAGATAAATCCACGTTAACACATCATCACCCTAAGTCCATAGTTTACATTAGGGTTCACTCTTGGTGTTCTGCATTCTGTGGGTTTTGACAAATTTATGATATGTATACACCATTGTGGTATCTTAGAAGATAGTTTGACTGCCGTAAAAATCCTCTCTACTCCCCTCTTCGTTCCTTCCTCTGTCCTAACCCCTTGGAACCAGTGATCTTTTTATTGTCTTCATGGTTTTGCCTTTTCTAGAATGTCGTATAGTTGGACTAATGTAGTATGTAGCCTTTTCAGATTGGGCTTCTTTCACTTAGTAATATGCATTTAAGTTTTCTCCATGTCTTTTCATAGCTTAATAGATCATTTCTTTTTGGCGTTAAATAATATTCCATAGTCTGGATGTATCACAGTTTATGTCTCCATTCACCTACTGAAGGATATCTTGATTGCTTCCAAGTTTTGGCCATTATGAATAAAGCTGCTATAAACATCTGTTCAGGTTTTTATGTGGACATAAATTTTCAGTTCATTTGGGTAAATGCCAAGGAGTGTGATTGCTGGATCATATGCTAAGAGTGTGTTTAGTTTTGTAAGAAACTTACAAACTGTCTTCCAAAGTGACTGTATCATTTTGCATTCCCACCAGCAATGAATGAGAGTTCCTGGTGCTCCACACACTTATCAGCATTTGCTGTTGTCAGTGTTTAGATTTTTGCCTTTCTAATGGTTGTGTAGTGAGTGGTATCTCATTGTTGTTTTAATTTGATTTCCCAGCTACATATTATGTTGAACATCTTTTAGTATGCTTACTTGACATCTGTATATCTTCGTTGATGGTGTGTCTCTTTAGATCTTTTGCTCATTTTTTAGTTGGGTTGTTTGTCTTCTTAATGTTTAGTTTTAAGAGTTCTTTATGTATTTTGGATAACACTCCTATATAGGGTATATCTTTTGCAAACATTTTCTCCCAGTCTGTGGCTGGTCTTCTCCTTCTGTTGATCTTTAGCTTTAAAAAAAAAACAAACAAAATAAAAACAATGAATTCAAGTTAAGAAAGCATATGGCATTTGCTCTCTCTCTCTCTCTCTCTGTAAGGTAACAGACCATTTGGTTAATTTTGTATTTTGAATATGATGTGTTGGAAAGTGTGTTATAAACTTGAAAATATATAAATAATACCTCTTAACTGAACAATTGCCTTTCTGCATATAGACAGAATACAAAAAACTGCTGATAACTTGTATCGCCTTTCCTTTGTGTTAACACAGTACACCTAACTGACTCTTGGCATCTTTTTTTCTAAATTTTGGTACTCTTGACATCTTAATTAGAATTTTCTTATATATAAGATATTAAAATCGTAGTTAGTTTTGCTTGAACTAGTTCAGTAATACCAGCAATCCCTGTTAGACTCTCTGAAGGAACACTTAAGTATCATGGAGTTTGTTATAACATTATTGCTTTTATATTTTGTTTACTAGGAAAATCCCTCATCTTTCTATTTAAAGCCTTCACCCTCTCCTCCTGCCTCTTTTCCTCCTCTGAACACAATATTCTGTCTAGCTTTCTAGCTTATTTACTATTCTACCTTGAAATAGAATAGCAGATTTTCTAGACTGGTGTCTGGTCAGTGTAGGTGCAATGAAAACGTCGAAAGGTGATTAAAAGGCAATGAAGGAAAAAATAGAATTATTTTTAAAAAATCCGTGATATAAGAGTTTGGGTACAAGTTGCTGTAAAATCTCTAATTTCACAGAGAATATGTATTAGCATTATTTTTATTGACAGGACATTATAGTAAGTATTTTTTTTTTAATGTTGATACTGACTAAGATATTTTTAAGAAACCAGAGAACATATACATTACTTTGGAAGATTTCCCTCAAAATGTTTTTATTTTTAGTTCTTAAAGAGTAGTTACTAAAAATTTAGGGCAAAATCTCATTTGTGTAAATGGCGCTTGATACAGGGTTTTTTAATTTAAAATAAAAGTCCTATATGGACTATGTAGGGTTTGAAATCTGGCCTGTGAAACAAACCACAAAACATAACTTACCTTCTTTGGAAGAATGGATTCTGTGCTCCAGTAAAACTATGATAGAACATTTCCACATAGTATTTCAAAATTTGGGGACTGCCTGTTCTGGGAGGTAATAAAGGCAGCCACTAATAATCGACCATTTATCCATTCTTTACATGTTGATCTAACTTGTTCGCTGGTAGTGACATGAATGAGCATCTAGAAGTAGGCCAGAGACAAATAGGAAGTAAGGAGTTATTATGTACAATCTCCTGGTTTTACTAGACTGACAAGCGAAAAGCAGTGGGAGTTGGTACAAAGAGAGAGTCTGGAAGAGCTGGCCTTGAGGAATTGTACATTGTAGGTAACTTATCTTTGTTTGTGGGGTTATACATTTAAATACACAGTTGAATATCTAGCAAAATACATAAGTCTTATCAGACTTGTACGTATAAATATAAGTACATATTACAAGAAATGTATAAGATAAGATAGTAAGTTGTTTTCATGTTTCATTATGTTATAAAAGCAGGGCTGTGTTTTTGATAATAAAAGGAACTAGAGTCTTGGGGTATCTAAATTCTGTGAAAGCACACAGTGGTTCTCTGTTCCCTTGTTATCAAAATCTCCAAACAGTTTATGGTGTATTACCACACATAAGGGGTTAATTCCAAAACTGGCTGTAGAAATCCCATTTTTAAATTGGTGTATTGTACTGATGGTTTATAATTACATAATCAGCAACAATGACAATTTAAACATGAACATTTTATTGACAAGGAAGATAATGGACAAGGAAGATAATGTTAAGATGACTTAAAAATGAGTTTCATATTGGTAGCTTGTAACTTGCATTCTACATACATCAGGCTATAAACGTTTAAGGAAGTCTGCCCTATTTGACTTATATAGTTTCACATAACAAAAAATAGGTAGACAGTATTTTTGTAGCTGAATTATTACTGAATAATTATTGAGCATGCAGAGTACCTGTCTCTTTTTTATTTTAATTTAAAAATACTCTTTAAGTATTTACAAATAAAGTAAGAATTATTGTCACCAGACTCCTAATAATTTGGCAAATTTTTCCATTTATAATTATCAAAAAATGTGATATTTAGCAATGTAGAAAAGAGAAAGTTTTTTCTTGAATATAGAAAATTTCCCTTTGGAAAGCTCAAATAAGAGTAATGGAATTTTTCTATTAAATGTGGAAGTTCCCCTTTTCTACATATAATGATAGAGATAGGTGCAGAAATTTCAGTACAATTAAAATATGTTTGTATTATAATTCATTGCTTTTTCACCCCCTCTCTGACTTTGATCACTTCCACATTTGAGAGTCAAGTAAATAAATACCCTAGTAGCTCTGACCATGGTGGTGGTAAAAGGATTAATAGTTGTTATTCATTGTCCATTTTCTATTTCCTGCTCATTTAAAAGTGTGAAACCAAGGCTGTATTATAATAATAGTACACTTGTCTTGTAAATACACCAAATGGCTCATCCCAAAAAGTGAGAAATGAAATTCTTCCCTAAAATGATATGTTTTTTAATATTTTATAAAATAATCACTGTTAGAGATAATTTTTTTCAGCGCTCTTTGAAGGTAATTGTAGTGGAGTAACTTAAAAAAATATGAAACGGTTGTAACACTTTAAATTCATTAAAGCAAAAAGAAAAACAACACCCTACTACTACTTTGAGGTGTTTGATGAATATGTAAATTAGGATTTTGCTGACAGTATTGGTTCTTTGCAGCACTTGGGTGCAATCTAGTTAACGTCTTATAGTGATGTGCCAAATTGTACCTGAGATCCTCTCCCAGTCTTGTTTATAATTGTCCCTTTGTTTGAGAAAGGATGAGAACCTGCCCTTTCTAATCCGGGTAGTTTCCTGCCTTAGACTATGCTTTATAATATGTCCTTAAGGTTTTAGCGTTTGGTCTAGAGATCTGAAAGTAAATATTGACTGTTTTTCTTTTCAGTATTAAATGTGAGGTTAGTGTACATGGGTAGGTTCAGTTTTACAGTCTTTACTCACAGTGTCAGATATCTATCACTGTACCCCTGTCAATACAAACAGGTTCTAGAAGTACTGTGTACTCCTCCGGAGACTATACTAAGAATACATGCCTCAGTTTTCCCCTGTATTAGGAAGGGTATATTTTGTGTAATTGATTCAGAGATAGGCTGGGGGTATTTTTGTATTAAAATTGGCCAAGGAAAGTAAAGTAGTGCCCTAGACTTAGAGAACGACCCTGGCTCCTTTAAAGCTTTTACCCCAACTTTTAAGCCCACATATAGAGAGCAGCTGGCTAAAACATCATAGCATAACTACATTAGGTTTCTTAGTACATACAATTCAGTGTATTTTTGGTTGTTATACTACCCATGTAAGCTCCTTTAGATTTATTTGGGATTAGGGTAGCATATTTATAAATTTTTCAGCAATCAGTTGTTTATACAGGTTTGGCACTCGCAAGAGT